CTGAGTTCGCGAGCTTGACATGGGAATGCTGTTCTTTGTTTCTTCAATATGGAGCTGCCTATGATATGCCCTAGTTACCCGATAAAGAGAGAAGGAGCTGGGTGTGGTGGGGCACACTGGTAATCCCAGTACCCTGGAGGCTGAGGCAGGAGGATTGCTGAAAATTTAAGGCCAGCCTGGGCATCTGGGCTCTATAGTGAGTTCAAGGCCAGCCTGAAGTACAGAGGGAGACCCTGACTCAAAACAACAAATAAAGAAGGAAGGAAGGAACTCCTCACTGGCAAATGGGACAGTCACGTGGGGCAGAAAGCGCCTGTGGGTGGGCTCCCCCTGGAGAGCATCAGTAACAGTTTGGGGATCACATTAGCAGCACACAGCTCACGCAGGCCTTCTGGGGCTCCTTCTCTATTTCAAGATGACTGGATAACTATTTTCAGGAAGGCTTTTGTTGCAGAATGAGGAACCAAGTCTCACAGCCTGGAGACTTAGGAATCTGGGGCTGCCTCCGGTCTGGAGGGGAGCGGGGCTCCTGAACCCAATGAGACACTTGGGGCTCCCTGACCTGGATGTGTGAGCATCTTCTATGTGCCGCCCCCCAACCCATGTGATCCCCTGCCCTGTGGCTTCCTGTTTGGTGGGGGGGGGGGTAGCAATCTGGTAGAGGAGGCTGGGAGGGAGGGGAGGAGAGGGGAGCCCGCCCTGGCTCACTCCCAGTGACCCCCTGTGTCCATGGCACGTGCATGTGGGAGGCCTCACTCCTTATGCGTGGCTTACCCAGCCCTCCCTGGGCTATTCCTCTGGGGCTTGGGTTGCAGCTCCACCTCTGAGCGCCCCCCTGCACTCTCCTTACACTCCCCACTTTAGTGACACCTTCATCCAGCCATGACCCCCACTAATACACAGGACAGCCTTCGTGTCCACCTTTCATGATTTCAGATTGTTGAAGCTGGACGCATCGGTGCGTGCCCCATGACCCCAGCACTCAGGGACCGGGGATGAGTCTGGGCCCAGCCTGTGCTACGTAGTAAGGTTCTGTCCCCACCCCCCACCCTCGAATAGAATGAAATTGTCGGTGTGTCCATTTCTGCCACTTGTGGGGCCAACTGGTTTCTGCTGGTCACCTGCAAAGAGAGTCTCCCGGCTGAGGGGCTCGGCCAGCTAGGGATCAGGTCCTTGTCTGGTGCTCTCCTAGGTCTGCTGGCTGTTGCTGGAACTGAACACCATAGGCTGGGTGATTTAGGAAGAACACAGGTTTATGAGGCCACCCATCCTGGCACTGGGGAGCCCCTGGGCATCTGGGGAGGGCTATCCTGCTGTACTCTAATGTGGCGCAGGGCGACATGGTGGACAGCTCAAGCGGCCAGCTCAGGTCTCAGATCCTGGATTCTAAACCTCAAGGAATGCTAATCATCTCCCCAGGGCCCCACCTCCAAATCCCATTCATGCAAGAACCAAGCAATTAAGTGCTCAACACATGGATGGGGGAGGGGACATACCAAACCCACAGCAGTCCACAAGAGTGGAGGCTGGAGAGACAGTTTCCTCCCAGCAGTGTCCAGAAGTGGCTGTTACCAGCTGGACTCCCTGTCCACGCAGACAGGATACTGCTCCATCTTTTTTGTTGGTTTGTTTGAGATAGTGTCCCACTATGTAGTACAGGCTGACCCTGGACTCCCAGCAATCCTCCTGCCTCAGCCTCCGGGTACAGAGATTTTAGGCAGGTGCCACCATACCTGTTCTTCCGCCACCCTTGAGGTTAGAACTCAGCCTTGCATTCTCCACCTTGCTGAGAACCTGGGCCACCTGGGAGGAGGCAGCCCCAACCCCTGGCTCCCTGGTATCTGCAAACAACCTGAACGAAGCACTCAGCTCCCACCTGGCTCCCAGAGATTCCTTTTAGGTTGGTCTGGAGTCTCTGCTTGCTTAATACTCAGCAGAGCCATCAATTGCCAGCTGTTTTCCTCACATTTCACATCTCTGAAATCGAACATATCGATGGTCAGCAGCATAGCACAGTGTTGGCTTTTAAATGGCACATACATGTGTGCACCTAGCATCGGTGCTCCCTAAATCCCCAGGCCTCTTGGGCTCCTCCAGCTGAGAATCCCCTCCTGGCTTCCCACATGAGCTGTTCCACTTAGATTCTTTTTTCACATCCCTCTTCCATATGGCTGTGTCTCCCCTGTGAGCTGAGTTCTTTCACAGGGCGATGTTTACTGCTCTGACTTGAGGCCATAGACCCTCCACCTCTGTGCCAAATTGCTTTTGTTATTCTGCTTGGATCTGGTTTTGAATCTACTAGAGAATACTTAGAAGGCATCAGCCATCTGATGCTGTTGCTGATGCTTGAAAGAAATTCCTCAGTGTGGGGCTTAATGAAAGCAAGGGAAGTTTGTAAAAAGTAAATACACAAACTCCTTTGTTAAATGCCACACAAGTCCACTAAACAACTTAAACCACGCAGTACACACATACACAACTTCCATGCACAGATTTATGTATGTGCCTATGGGCAGAGACAGACAGACAGACAGACAGAGACAGACAGACAGACACCAAGAAATAAGATGAGAGACAGAGGGCCAGAAAAGCCCAGGTGGACGCCATGGAGCCCCAGTGAATGACAGAGGCACTGGTGTCCTCAGTCACAGATTTCAGCTGCTCGGATCCAGGGTGAGGGACACCTAGTTCAGGACACCTAGTTCTGACCCTGAATGTGCACGTCCCTCCCATAGGCAGTCCTCCCACCTTCCTCCCAGAGCAGGCCACCTCCTCCCAGGTCCACGCCCCAAGCCGGCAGCAACAGGGGCTGGACTGGGAGGTGGGTGGGGTGAGAGCTGGCCTGCGCACCCGCCTGGATGAACTCTCCCACCCCCAACCTGTGGGAGAGCCGGCCTCGTTCCTCAGGAGCCATTGCCTTCAGCAGAAAGGCAGCTCGGGGCATCTCAGGAAGCAAATCTAAAGTCACAAGCACTTGATGGCTGTGCTCAAGTCATGGAAGCCCTGACTGGAGGGAAGTGCTTCTGGCGCCCATCCCCTTACCTAAGGCCAGCCAGGTCTCTCGCTGTGGTCCAGCAGCTGGCTAGGGGGCGGGGCCTCGGAGGGCCTTGCCGTGGCAGAGCCTCTGTAGGCTAGGGCTTGCTGGGGCGGGGCTTCTGTTGGGGCGGGGCTTCTGTTGGGGTGGGGTCTAGTTGGGTGGGCCCTCGGGGCTGTGCAAGGAGACCTGGCCCCAGAGCCTTGGGACGGCTGACCAATATTTTCTCTCGCATCAGCAGCAGAGATACAAACCAGGGAAGATTTTTATGCTGCCTGTGCCATTTTCTGAGTTTTCAGAAAAACTCAAGTACAGTTTTTATTTTATGTGCTGTAATTCAGTTTTTCTCAAAGCTCAGAAAATGGCGTAGGCAGCATGGAAATCTCTGGTTTGTATCTCTGCTTATATATATGCACCCATATTTACAGCAGCATAGTTGGTCATAGCTGAATCTTGGAAATAACCCAAACGCCCATCAACTGAGGAATGGATAAAATGATGTGGTATTTTTACACCGTGGAGTATTACTCAGCTATAAAGATAAACTTGAGGCTTTTATAAGTAAATGGATGCAACTAGAGACCACACTCATAAGTGAACTAATCAGACCCACGTGTATAAACATCGTGTTGTCTTGCTAGTATAAGAACCTGAAAGAGTAGATAAACTCTGAAAGGTACAGTAGAAACTATGAAAGGGAAAGAATCTGTTTAAAGTGAAGGAATAACTGGACGAGTGAAAGGACAAAAAAAAAAAAGAAGGGGAAAAAGATATGTTTATGTATATATACAGGACAGCTTGGAGATAATTGTACTGGTGATTTTTGTTGGTCTATTGAAAGAAATAGTTAGGGGCCGGGGAGATGGCTCCGTGGAATAAGCGCTTCCCTGGCAAGTGCAAGAGCCTGAGTTTAATTCTTGGTTCTGGGGGCTGGTGAGATGGCTCAGTGGTCTAAAGCACCTACTTAGAACAAGCTTAGCAAAGCACAGGGACCGCGGTTCAATCCCCCAGCACCACATGCCAGCCAGCCCCACCCCCTGGTGGGCTGAGCTGGCCACACACACACACACAACAACAACAACAAATAAATAAATAAACTTTAAAAAAAAATTCTTGGTTCTGCCAAGATAAATAAATTAATTAATTAAATTTTAAAAAGTCACAACTCCAAAAAAAAAAATTATAGGAATACATTTTTTTCCTGAGTTTAGTATCAGACCAAGGGGGGCTGGGGAGATGGCTCCATAGAATAAGTGCTTGCCTGGCAAGCGCAAGGGCCTGAGTTCAATCCCCAGTTCCGAAAAAAAAAAAAATCAGATCAATGATGGGGGCCCAGAAGTATAGCTCGGTGGTGAAGCCTGATAAGTAATTGTTAGAAATGATCTTTGTCGGGGCTGGTTGAGATGGCTCAGTGGTCTAAAGCACCTACTTAGAACAAGCTTAGCAAAGCACAGGGACCGCGGTTCAATCCCCCAGCACCACATGCCAGCCAGCCCTGCCCCCTGGTGGGCTGAGCTGGCCACACACACACACACACAATAAATAAATAAATAAATTTAAAAAAAAAGAAAAAGAAAAAGAAATGATCTTTGTGAGGAAGAAAACAAAAATAGCTCTCCTCTTCAAACATGTACACAAAAGTAGCAAAATATTCTAATCTACTAAAAATAAGTTCTCAGAGTTGTGGAGTTATATGAGACTTCTTTTATATGTATATTTTCTCATTTTACGATTGTGAAAAATATACTGTTTTGTTAGCAAAGACTGAAAGAATAAACACTATCTTCAAAACTGTCTTTCTGGCTTGTTTTGGGAGCTGCTGGCCACAGGATGTGGGGTGCGGGTGCCGGAGGCTGAGGCTTTTTCTGGATCAAGGCGACCTGGCCAGTCCCCACTGCAGGTGGCCTGTGGGCGGGTGACAGACTGGTCAGTTAATGCGTGCTCCTGTTTGGGGCTCTGTCCGCAGGCATCAGAAGGCGTCCCGGTGAGGTATTTCACTAAACTGGACCAGCTCATCGAGTTCTACAAGAAGGAGAACATGGGGCTGGTGACCCACCTGCAGTACCCAGTGCCGCTGGAGGAGGAGGACACCGGCGACGACGCCGAGGAGGACATGGGTAGGAAGGGAAGGAGGGAGGCAAGCTGTCGGAGGTGCCTTCAGGACCTGGTCTTTGAGCCAGGGATGGAGCTCTGGCACAGAGTCTGCCCAGCAAATGCAAGGTCCTCTGTTCAATGTCCGGCGGAAACAGGACTTGCAGATTCAAGGGCCCCATTACTAGAAGGGGACAATGTGGCCTGGTGGCAGAGGACAGGTTAGGAACACAGGCCCTGACAGGTCACAGGCAGATGCGGGCTGGAAGCCCTGCTTACCAGCTTGTTAGCTTCGTGGTCTTGAGTCAGTGACTTAGCCTCTCTGAATTACAGTCTTCTCTTTAGAGATGGTAAAGGCAGGGCAGCACTGCACCCACCCCTCAGGGTGTCACAAGGGTCAATGAGCCAATGAACGTGTGTCCCATGCCTGGTACATCATTGTTCCCACCACGGGAGTGCAGGGGTGGGGAAGGAGTGCCTTGGATTGGAAGGGAAAATGAAAGGTGCTTCTTTTTTTTTTTTTTTTTTTTTTTTTGTGGGACCAGGGATCGAACTCAGGACCCTGTGCTTGCCAGGCAAGCACTTATTCCATTGAGCTATTTTCCCAGCCCCGAAAGGTGCTTCTTTATAAGAGGAAGGGGCAAAGGTGGGGCCGGGAAGATGGGGGGAAAAAGGAAGGGGCTAAGGTGCAGTCCCTAAAAATATGTTGAAAAGGAAGCCCAGCATGATGGCACACACCTGTAACTCCAGCACTCTGGGAGGCCGAGGCAGGAGGATCACAAGGGCAAGCCCAGTGTAGGCAATTTAATGAGACCCTATATCAAAATCTAAGAATAAATACCAGGCCAGGGAGGAGACCCAGTGCAAAGGCCTTGGGTTATCTCTCCAGTACTGAAAAAGAGAAAGAAAGACCAAAGAACCTCAAGCGTGTGAGACTCAGGCCTGCCCCTAGCACAGCTTCGGCACAGTGAATGTGGGCATGAGTCCCAGAGAGAACGCTGCAGAGAAAAAGCTCACCTGTGTGTGCCTTCCTGCCCTCTCAGAGGTTCGTTTCCTAAAAGGAAACACGAGATGCCTTCTTTGCCCCTCTGCCAGCCAGGGCGGTTCTGGCAGCCAGAAGAGATGACACCTGAAGCACTAACTCCCTGCCTGGTTCCTACCTGCCCATCTGACCTGGTGACAGCTGCCAGCGCCCTCTTCTGCCCTTCCCTGGACTCCTCAAGAACAGACTGACAGCTGCCCCTCAGAACTGGGCCAAGCTCCAGGATACTGGAAAAAGCCCCAGCTGGCCGCAGCTTTCTGCCCTCACTGGCTTGAGGCTAAAGTGCCCTCAGGGACCAGGCAGGCCCAGTGGGCGAAGCCAGGGCTGAGCTGTGAGTTGCAGTCACCTGCCAAGGTGCTGGTGGGTTGTGCACAGGGACCTAGCCTTGGACTTGGCCTTGACCTTGACCTCCAGAAGGTCACTCCTGCCGCAGTGCCTTCCACACATCACTGTCCTAGTATGCCCCCAACACCCCTGCAGTTTGCTGTGCCCCTCGGGGGAGCTGTCTGGAGACAGATCCAACTGATACACTTCCTGTGAGAACTCGAGACAGAAAGAGCCCAGTCTGGTGACTGCAGCTTCACTTCCCCAAAGAGGTCCAGGCGCTCAGACATGGAGTCCTCCGGGTGCGGTGCAAGGGTGTCTGATCCGACTCGGGTCTGCCCGTTCTCTGGGGCTTCCAACTCACTTGTAGCCATCTCCAGAACCCAGAGCAGGAGAGGAAGTGAAATGCGTGTCCACTAAACAGAGAAAGTCCCAGACAATGCTGTGGCTGTGGCCTATGCTGGCCACTAGTGTGAGAAATAGCATGGGCAGGAAGTGGCCTTTGCCTGCTCATGGTACATGCAAATAGGATTGTAAAGGAGGTAGGCAAGGGTCCCCCTTTTTTTGGGTCAGGGTCTTGCTATGTATTCTGGGCTGACCTTGAACTTGCTGAGCAGCACAGGCTGGCTTCGAATTTGTAGCAATTCTCCAGTCTCAGCCTCCTAGATGCTGGATTATGGGTGTGTCCACCCCTCCCAGCTCACTTTTAAAAACTCTGCAGGAAGAGAGAAGGGTAGAGGCTGGGGAGAGGGTGCAAGGAGATAGAGAGTTGGCTAATGGAGGGGCAATTGGTCAGGCCCCCACCTCCCCACCCCAGTCTCCTTCTTGGCCTGAGGCCCCAGGGAGCCCTGCCTGGCTCAGTCTGTACACGGCCCACAGCCCTGCAGGCCACCTTACCTGTGCCCAGCAGGGCCACATGACGCCAGCAGGCATTTGTAGAGCCCCCCAGTGGCCCCAGGTGCAAGGATCAGGAGAACCAGCCCTGTGCCCAGAGCTTCCGGCCAGTGCTGTCTGGGAGGAAGTGCCTCTGGGAGGCACTGGGTGCAGCTGGGGACCTAGCCAGGGCAGTGTGCGGGGCAGGGTGGTGCCCAGAGTGCCTCGCCAATGTCTCCTGCTGCTCTTTTGGGTAGAAAGTGTCACGTCTCCGCCTGAGCTACCACCCAGAAACATCCCTCTCTCTGTCGGGCCCTGTGAGACCAAGGAGCTTCCGGTGCCAGCCGAGAACGCCCGTGCCCCTGAGGCCAGCCGGCCCACCCTCTCCGAGACACTGTTTCAGCGGCTGCAGAGCATGGACACCAGCGGGTGAGTGCCCATCTGGGGTGCCCTCCCTCCAGGCACACCTGGGCCCCCATCCTGGACAGCAGGTGGCCTTTAGCTGAGGAATGGCGACTGTCCCTGAGAGCCACACTTGCATTCATTTATGAGGATTTCATTAATCGCCGGGTTGAAAACCAATTTTGTTTCTAGCCTAGATTATCACCCCCTCAAGTTGTGTACTTTTTATAGTACAATTGAAAATATGGTACATGTGTAGGATTCCAAAAAATTACTGCAATATCTTTAAAGCAGGAAACTACATGTACCTTATGCAAAGGTCTCTTTGATTGGAAGAACAACATTTTGTAAGAACTTTTTTTTTTTTTTTTTCCCCAGAACTGGGGATTGAACTCAGGCCCTTGTGCTTGGCAGGGAAGCGCTTATTCCACTGAGCCATCCTGCCGGCCCCTTGTTTGATCTTTTGAGACAGAATCTTACCATGCAGTCCAGGTAGGCCTGGAGCTTATCTTGTAGCCCAGGCTGGTCTCAAAACCACAACAGTCCTCCTGCCTCAGGGTCTGGAGTGCTAGGTATAAAAACATTTTTGAGTAAAAACTTTATGGAAAAATATTAATTTATTACAGTGAAAGACACACCGCCACGAAGTCCCCCTCAAAACCCTCTCTCTCACTTGGAGCACACTTACCCATTGCTCGTGCCTCCTTCGGGAGCAGCTCGGGATGTCCTCTTCTGAGAAGGTCTGCAGTTGTGCCAACGGGGCTGCCGCAGGGTCCTGAGTGGATTCATAGTGGTGACCTTGCACGGCCATCTTGACTTTGGGCAAGAGCAAGGGTCCTGTGGTGCCAGACGGGGTGAGCAAGCTGGTGAGGACATACTGTCGTGTTTTCAGTTGGCAGAAAATGCCGTAAGGTTTTGAGTCACTTCAGGACATCAAGCCGGGCACAAAAAGACACGCTGAGAGCTGCTTCAGAAAGTGGCAAGAATGATGGCGCATGTGTGTGTGTGCTTGAGGTGAAGGGGATTCAGGCCATGTGTCTTTTACTGCCAGATATTTTTAAATTTAAACTTTCAAGGGGCTGGGGAGATAGCTCGGTAGAATAAGTGCTTGCCTGGCAAGCACAAGGTCCTGAGTTCAATCCCCGGTACTAACAATAAATAAATAAATTTAAACTTTCACCATACATTTTGATCATACCTTGAATATTAACCCTTTGCCCATCATCCTTATGGGGAGAAAAACCCCTAGCTCCCAGCTCCTTGCTTACTTTTTTTTTTTTTTTTTTTTTTGATGGTACTGGGGATTGAACTCAGGACCTTGCATTTGCCAAGGCAAGCGCTTATTCTACTGAGCTGTCTCCCCAGCCCCTCCTTGCTTACTTTTCAAGTTTGAGAATGCTTTTATGTTTGTAAGATTTAAATCTTTCTGAAGTGCATCATTCCCTCTGTGAGCACAAGACCTCTTTTATGCTTAGAAGGTCCCTGTCGCTCGCCAAGCCACCCACAGCTGCCAGGCATGCCAGAAGTCTGCGGCTGCTCCTTCCTTTGCGTTCCCACCACACAGTCATGTGTAGAGGAACTGTCCCCTCTCACAGGCCACACCAGAGAGGTCAGATGCAGGGCCACGAGGTGTCCAGTGCATGTTCACACTGGGCCCTTGCTCTGGTCCTAGGAGGGCCTCACAAAGTCACTGCCTTGTTCACAGGGAGCAAGGGCTAAGTGACAATAATGACAAAAGGTCCAAAGTGCTGGATTAGGTGCTGCCCTCCCTCCAGGGCTGGTCACCAGGGCATGGCACTGTCCCTGGGGGCTTGTGATGGGGACCCAGGGGTCATGATGGTCAAAAGGAGACCAGAGAGCCGGGGGGTGGGGGGGAGCTCCTTGTGTGCTCTCGGAGTTCCTGGAGCATGACTGGTCATGCAGCTGACTCTCGGGCATGTGGAAGGACTTGGATGAGGGGTTCCCCTACCCTAGCTAGAGGATCCCTCACTGATCCACTGATCCATCACTGTTCAAGCTGTTGCCCCGACAGGAGTAAGGGTGAGCAGTAGAGATGCTGGGGCAGGTCCGGCCCCTGCTCCTGACCCTCGCCCCCACTCCTTCCTGCCCAGCTGAAGGGAAGCCGGGGTGAGTGAGGCGCCCTGGGTTTATCTACGTGGCTCTACTTCCTGGAACTAGAAGAGGAGGGTGGTGGGGACCAGGGACCCTGAGGGGAGTTGAAAAGGTCCATCTTTGGTGTTGCCAGCCCACCAAAGTCAGTCCTGCTGTGGGGACTTTAGATTGCTAAAGTCTGTCCATCTGCATGGACAGACTTCCCTCACCAAGTCCCTGGTGTGCCCTTTCATGAGAGGCGAGTAGTGGTCCTAAGGCTCACGGCCATCAGCATGAGGGGTCAGGCATCTGGCTGCCTGCCTCCTGGAAGTCCCACTTCCACCAGAGCCCAGGCGGTTGTTTGGTGTCTCCCCTTCCTACCCCAACATGGCCTGAAGGAGCCCAGGCGCATGGGCAGTCATGGCCTCACTCAGATGCCCACTTCCCGCAGGCTAGCTGTGTAGAGCAGGGTCCTCTTTGGGGAACACCTTAGAACTCTGGGGCCGGCACATCTGTGCTGAGTCCCTGGCAGGGCTTCTGGCAATGGCCAGTAATACCTCTGCTACCACAGGTCTTCCAAGCCCTCCAGCCCAAGCCAGGGAGCTGCTGGCACCAGTTGGACCTGCTGCAGAGCCCCTTCCTGCTCCAGGGCACATGCAGATCTGGCCACCGCTGGCCACCATCCTTGTCGTCCATCGGGGCATCAGGGCACTGGTTCCAGGTGTGGTGTGGATGCTAAGGTCTGCCCAGCACCTGTCTGTAGTGCAGGTGGAGGCACTGTTGGGCCCGTCCTTCCCACTTTTGTTCCAGGGCAGGATGCCTAGATCTGGGCCCAGGTGAAGTTTGCTGGCTCCTGCCGGTCTACACAGGCCGGGGCCTGCGGCTTCTCCTGCAGCAGCCTGTGTTTCCTTGGATGATGCACAGGAAGCCTGGGCCAGCAGGCTGGGCTGAGGCAGGGAGAGAGCTCCAGCAGGACACTTGAGTGCCCGGCCTCTCATGGGATGTGTGGGTGAAGTAATGTCAGCACACCATCATCCCCTGCCTTAATGCCTCCAACCTTTTTTTGTTTGTTTGGTTTTTGATTCTGGGTGAGACAAGATCCTCCACTGCCTGCAAAGAAAAACCTAATGGCAGGACTGGGTCAGCTGCTTTTTCAAGTGGACAGACCCTTTGGAGACTTCTAGGGCTATCCTCCTCCCTGACGAAACACAAAGGATGCATCTGGTGGCTCAGATACCGCTTCACGGTTCTTTGCCAGGTCCACCAGCCTGCATTCCCTGTGTGCTCCTTCAGCTCGGGGCTGTCTCTCCCAGAGCCGTGTACCCAGTGCGTCAAGCCAGTCAGCACAGCGCCATGACTGCTGGTGCATGTCCCGCACCAGTGCAGGCCACGGTGTGGCCCAGTGGTAGAGCATTTGCCTAGCAGGTGCGAGGGAGGCCCTAGCTTCCTTCTCTAGCACCCCAAGTAATGACCAATGCTCACAGAAATAGGTTCTTTGTCCCAGCTCCTTGGCTGCCTATCTCTCCCTGGGTTCATTGGCAAATGTGGCGAGCTCCTGGGTGAGCCCTGTGGGCCCCGCACCCTGCCCTCCTCTACCATCTCTGCTGCGGCCTCATCTCATGGCACCTGTGGATCTGGTGCAGGGACAGTGACCAGGTCCAGGGCAGTGGAGATTCTCACGATTGATGTGCTAGACTTCATCAACTTTACTCTTCAAGTTGCTTTTTACCCAGAGGACAGACTGCTTGAGATTCTTCTTAGGCATGAGACAATCCACACGGTCACTTGGTCAAGTTGATTAGAGCTCATCAGTTAGGGCTCTGTTCGTAGATTCATTACTACAAGGCTTCTTTTTATTTATTTATTTATTTATTTATTTATTTATTTATTTATTTTTTGCTACAAGGCTTCTGAGCAAAATTCACATTCCCCATTAAAGTCTGCGTTTTTATTTCAAGCTGTCTCTGTAACAAACTTTTTTTGTATGTTGATTTTTGTAAGAAGCACTTGTGGGCTCAAGTAAGAGTTGTTAGAACATCATTGCTTAGGGCGGTGACCTGGCGCCGTTCCCCCCCCCCCACCCTTTCTCTTTGAGGCTGGGGAGATGGCTCAGTGGAATAAGCACTTCCTTGGCAAGTGCAAAGGCCTGAGTTCAATACCCGGTTCCGCAAAAAAAAAAAAAAAGAACATCATTGCTAGTATTTATTTATGCAGTGCCAGTGCCAAACCCACACCGTGGCACATGGTAAGCATTGTTCTGCCATAAGCTGAACCCTCAGCCCTTGGTGTATATTTTATCTTCTTAGTAACAGCATCTCCCTATGTATCCAGGCTGGCCTTGAACTCACTGTATAGCTCAGGCTGGCTTTGAATTTAGGCTTGGGGTGAGTGTTCCTCTTGGCTCAGTCTCCTAAGGGCTGGGATTACAGATGTGTGCCACCAGGCCCAGTGATATTTATTTTAATGCTGTAGGCAAAATATTTGTGCTTTTTAGGAAAAAAAGAACTGAATTTTGTGATGTACAGACCCACAGTAAAGCAGCTGTCCGCTGGATGTTAGGGCAATGGTGTGTAGCCATTTGTTAATTCTTCCCCCGGTCTCCACAGGCAGAATGGCTAACCCTACTCTGTCCCATCTGCAGAAAAACAAGCTTTCATTCTTCACCCTACAGAAAGACATATGGGGCCTTTGTTTCAAAATGATTTTATATCAAAGCCAAAACTTACTATAGGGACCGGGGAGATGGCTCAGTGGAATAAGCGCTTCCCTGGCAAGTGAAAGGGCCTGAGTTCAATCCTGGGTTCTGCCCAAACAAAACAAAACAAAACAAAACAAAACTTACTGTAATTTATCCTCCGGGTAATTGACATGTGTCAGCCTCAGTTTCCTCACCTGTGAAATAACCATAACTATCACAGTATCTTGTGGGTTAAAGAAGAAAATGAGTGTGGTGTCTGGTATGTTTTGCTCTGGAATAACTGCCATTACCGTGGGAACAAAGACTCAAAAGGACCCAAAATAAATATGCTGAGAAAACTGGGCATAACAGCATAGTCTACCACTCTGGGAGGCTGAAGCAGGAGGATCACAAGTTCAAGCCCATCCTGGGCCATTTAGCAAGACTCTTTCTCAAAATTTAAAAGAAGAGTTGAGGATATAGCTCAGTATAAAGATCTTGGCCTTGATCTCTGGTACCACAAAATTCAATCAAACTAAAAAGTGCTGGAAGATACAATGCAGTGTATCTTGGTCTGATCCCGACTTTTGGTGACAGTCCCCAGCAGGACTGGCCCTAGGTTCTGCCTGGGCTGCACATCCTGCCTATCTTTCCCCTTCCTTTACAAATTGAAGGGACAGGGCAGGGCAGTGGGACAGGCCATGGGGTGGCTCCTGTCCTGCTAGGTCCCTGGATGGCCATACCTAGTCACCTCTCCCCTACCCCATTGCTCGTCACATGGACTTCCCCACAGAGCCCAGGTGATCCCCAGACTCCTCAGCGTGGTGTCCCTAGGATACACCGCACAGCCCTCTCAGAGCCCCTTAAACAATAACCACCTGTCCACCCACCACACCCCTCTTCCAGCAGCACCCAAAGGTGCTTATCCCAAGAGAGGCCCCACTCCTGCTGGCCCCTTTGTCTTACTGTGACCTGACCTCTGTACCTGCAGTGAGACTGAGGGGATCCTCCTGAGGGTGTACAGGAGTCCTCCTGAGGACAGCCTGGCCTGAGGACCTGCCATCTGTCCCTGCACTTGCAGGACTGCTGGTGACTGAAGGGTAGAGGAGAAGCAGGTGTTTATTTTCCCATTTCCTTTCAGGCTACCGGAAGAGCACCTGAGAGCCATCCAGGAGTACTTGAGCACTCAGCTCGCCCTGGACTCTGAGCTTGTGAAGACAGGCACCAGCAGCCTCCCCCACCTGAAGAAGCTGATCTCACAGCTCTGCAAGGAGCTCCACGGGTAATGCTGGCCCCAGTAGGGTGGGGGCATGGGGAGGGGCGTGGTCGTTGGCCGGGTGAAGGGGTACACACCTGAGACTCCTGGGGAGCCAGAATTTGAGGGCAGTCTAGGCTACCTAGCAACTTAGCCAGGCCCTGTCTTAAAATAAAACATAGGAGGGCCGGAGAGATGGCTCAGTAGAATAAACGCTTGCCTGGCAAACATAAGGGCCTGAGTTCAATCCCCAGTTCTGCCAAAAAAAAAGGAAAGAGCTTGGGATCAGCTAAGTGCAAAGGCCCTGGTTACAATGCCCAGTACAAGAAAAAAAAAAAAAAGAGAAAAGGAGAGCAGTCATTAGAGTGAAGCTGTTTGGATGTGTGTGTGTGCGTGTACATGCACACGCACACACATATGCACAGTGTGCCAGGGTTGCAACCCCGGGCCTGGTGCATGCTAAGCTGGCCCTCCACCGATAAACTCTACCCCCAGCCTGTTGTGTTTGGAAACACGTTGAGGCCAGCTGTCCAGGCAAGGAGGAAAGGCCGCAGGACAGTGCCAAGGAGTCCAGGACAGCATGTAGATGGTTGCTGCCGCTCTCGTTTCTTCAGCAGCAGGCACCGCCAGCAAGCACACAGGAGCACCCAGGGGACATAAGCCAGACTGCTTTCCGCGTGGGCACTGTCCCAAGGCTTCCAGGGACAGAAGTTACTTTCAAGTCAGCCATTCACCAAAACTCCAGTTCTCTGATCTGAATTCCCTGAGCCCTCATCGGCTAAGATTCTAATCCCCCGTCTCAGTTACTCTTCTCCTGTCGCTGGGACAAATACTCGACACTGAAAATTAGGGAGGAAAAGTGTATTTAGTTCTGTTACTGGAGGTTTCAGTCCACACGCAGCTGGCTCCAAGGCAGAGAGGCACGTGGCAGAGAGCAACCTTTCAAGGCAGAGGCGAAGAGCAGAGAGCGAGGGAGTGGCAGCAGCTCCAGGCAGCCTGCTAGCTGTCTCTCCTCCTCACATTGTAATGCAGAGTACCTGCCCCAGGCGAGGTGCGGCATCCACAGCCACAATAATCAATCCCAAACTCCAGAAGCCGCCCCAGGACTGCATGAGGCTTCTGGGGGGTGGGGACCACTAGATACAAACCATAAACACCCCCCAAGATTCTTTTGATTTTACATTTTTCATTTCATTATTAACCTTAAAATGAACTTCACGCTTTTTGCTGAAAATACAGAAGTAAGCCTGATATGTTAAAGGCCTAAAGCTTCAGGGGTGGATAACATTCCAAAACCTCTGAAAGAAATCACAGGGAGGGGCTGGGGAGATAGCTCAGTAGAATAAGAACTTGCCTGGCAAGTGCAAGGGCCTGAGTTCAATGCCCGGTTCCACCAAAAAATAAATAAATTTAAAAAAAAAAGAAATTACAGGGAGCCAAAGTAAACCCACCATGGGTGAAAAGCCAGCACTTTGGCTGGAAAGACGGTGGCCAGGTTCCTCAGCCCTTGTGGCTTTGTGTGGTTTCAGTTATTCCAGTGCCGTATAACTCTTAGCTTAGTTAATCTGCAGAAAAGAATTTTTCATCATCAGTAATCAGATTCAGCTTTCTTCTCAAAGGCCCTTAAAAGCACAGTCAATACATTTGGTAAATTTGACGAGTAATTTCTTTGACAAAGTGAGCAGTCATCCAATTGGCCAGACAGGCTCAATTTGAATGAAGTGGCTTTTGACTAATGCCACTGTATGGTGAATGGGGCCCAAAGCAGCATTTTTTACAGATTTCCATGGTAGATTTTGTTCTATTTATCGCCAGGGGGAAAAATGCCTACAATTGGTACTTTCTTTAAACACACACACACACACACACACACACACACACACACACACACTCTTCATGATGACCAATAATGACAAGCTTTTTATTTCTGCTGCATTGAACATCCAGGTCTTCACGGTGCCCTTGTGGACACAGGTGCATATTTTACGTCTTCCTCTTGGGACCCCCCGCCTCCACACTTTGGCAGCTTTTCCCAGATCCCAAGCTGCTACTTGGTTCTCTCGCGGGCATCTTGGTCATCTGATCACTGTGGTGACCACTTCCCCCCAGCTTGCCTACCTCTCTGGTTCCCCTCAAGCGCCGGCTGTTCCCTGTCTCATTTACCAACTGGTTAACTTCAACGGTGTTCAAATTGCTTGGATCAGAACAGGTGTGTCCGCTCACCGTTTAATGATATGCCATGCGGCATCAGACGAGCCCTGTGCTGGGGGTTGTGATGCATCAAAGTTTGTCAACTCCCAGCACTGGGGAGGCTGAGGCAGGAGGGTCACTATGAGTTAGAGGCCAGCCTGGGCTACATAATTGTTTCAAGGCCACCATGAACTGCCTAGTGGAACCCTGTCTCAAAAAACAAAAAATAATTGAATAAAATAAAAGGTAAAGGAAGTAAGGTGTGGTGGTGCGTGCCTATAATCTCCTAGCACTCCGGGAGGCTAATTCAGCCCCAGTCTGGTCAACTCAGCAGTTTAAGGAGACTTTGTCAGAACAAAAGCAAACAAAAAATACAGCTCAAGAAACTAAACAGGTGGGGCAGGGAGATGGCTCAGTGAAATAAGCACTTCCTTGGCAAGTGCGAGAGCCTAAATTCAATCCCCGGTTCTGCCAAAAAAAAAAAAAAAAAAAGAAAGAAACTAAACAAACAAATACAGTAATATGGGGAAAGCAGCATTCTTCATACAAAATCCTACAGACTGAATTTATAGGTATTTGTGTTCTTGGTATGACATTTTGAAAAAAAGACTGCACTAGAGAGCGTTGAGTTTGCTCTTAAAGCCCCGAAGTAGTGCTGTAGACAATGCCGCGGCCTTGAATTTTCTCGGGGGTGGGGAGGGTGTGTTTGTGGAACCCAGAAAGGGGGGGGGGAAGGCCTTCACTGCCGTGGAAGCACGGCTTGCCACGCCCCATAGACACACCTCACTGCATCCGGGTCCCTGAGGGAGTCCAGGGAGAGGCCTTCTCTCCTCCCCTTCCCCCTGCCCCCTTCTCACTTCCTCCAGTCTTGTCACCAGTGCTGGGGTGGAGGGACCCTGGGCCTGGTGCCAGCTGCCTTGCTGTATCACCCACCACTGTACCACTGAGCTGCAGCCCTGGGACAACTCAGGTTGTAAACACTCAAGTGTGGCATTGCCTAGGACAGGTGGACTTGTAGATGAATGAATGCAACAGAGCTCAGAAAATGGACCAACTCGAGAGGGCTCTGGGAAAAGGGCATATTATGGGATGCAGAGGAAAATGAACTCTGCACTACACCTACCACAAAAAGGTGGGGTGACATGGGCCTGCACTTCCCGTGCCACGATAAGGCAGGACTGCTGCAAGTTCAAGGGCAGCCTGGGCTATCACAGCAAGACTGTCTCAAACAAACAAACAAAAACCCTGGATGGATTAGGGGATCAGACATACACAACCACCGAAAAACCCCATATATACATATGTGACATAGTCTTAAGAAGAGAAAAAAGATGCAGAGGGTTGGCAAGATAGCTCAGTGTACAAAGCACCTGATTAGGCAAGCACAGGGACGGTACCACATGCCACGCTGGCCCCACTCCCGGGTGCTTGGTGGCTCACCCCTGTAATTCCCACCACGCCTGTAATCCCAGGGGTGGGGAGGCTGAAAATAGGAGGATCACTATGAGTCTGAGCTGCATAGTAAGACCCTGTACCAAATACATAAAAAAAAAAAAAAAAAAACTTAGAAAAAGAGATATGGATAAGATATACGGCCAAAAAAAATAATATATATATATATATATATATAGCCAGCAGGTCTGAGGAGTGCTTGGCACCATCACTCAAGGGTTGGTCTCTGGGTCTCCAAATTCTCTAATTGGGAATAAGAAAAGAGCTGGGGGTTAGGGAGATGGCTCAGTGGCACTTCCCTGGCAAGTGCAAGGGTCTGAGTTCAATCCCCAGTTCTGCCAAAAAAAAAAAAAAAAAAAGAGCGATAGGAACCAGCTGTCAGGAGCAGCCTCCATAAATCCCAGCACCAGGGAGGCTGAGGCAGGAGATCCCAAAGCCTGGAGAGTTCCAGACCAGCCTGAACTATGCAGTGAGACCCAGTCTCAAAAGAAAAAACAAACAAAAAAACATGGGGCAAAATCCAACTCAACACTGGCTCCCTCGGTGGCACCAGGTGACCTGGAAACAATAGAAAGACGTAACTATCGAACAAAGAATTGATGATGTCCTGGGGCCCTCACGCTTGGAGAGGGGAAAGGCCGGCCTCCGTCACGCTACGGGGGATTTGCGCCGGAATCTACCCCACCCTGCTCTGGCAAGCCCTGCGGGTTAAAATGCAGATTCCAGCCCCAATCAGGTGCTGGCCCAGAAATTTGCATTTTTACCGGGGGCTGTGTGTGGGGTTACTATAAACTCTAAAGGCTGGGAACCACAGACTCCCAAAAGATTTCAAATAGTTTTGTGACTAAGTGGGCCCCTTCTCTGGTCTCCTCTGCCTGAGAAGTGGAGGTAAACGTAGGCCCGCGCATCCCGACTGCAGCTGGATGTGGATGGGGGTCCTCGGGGGTCCCAGCAGGCTGGGTCGGGGCTGGTGGCCTACAGATCTTCGCCCGGGCTTGTCCTGCGGGTGTGACCACGACTCTCAGGGAGCCTACCTTGCCTCGGTGCAATAACCTTGCCCTTCACCTTGTTCCCGGCCCCAGGGAAGTCGTGCGGACCCTCCCGTCCTTGGAGTCACTGCAGAGCTTGTTCGACCAGCAGCTGTCCCCAGGCCTCCGTCCGCGCTCCCAGGTAAGGCGACGGTCTCTAAGGTGGGGAAGGGAGCTGTTTGCTGTCCCCGCTGTGCCCAGAAGGAAGGAGCGGCCCTGCCCACCCCTGTTTGGGCGCGGGATGGGGGTCCTGCCCTTTCCAGAAGGACATTTCCTGCCCCCCGGATTTAACTGGAAGAGTGAAGTCCCATATTATACACCCACCAACCAAACTGCTTTTTTACTATGAAACATTGAGGGAAGCAAGCCTGCTCCTGTTAATTTTTCTCTCTGGCCACTGAAAGAAAAGTCTGAGGTGCCTGCTTTTTTTAATTTCTGAGATAAGGCCTCACTGAATCGCCCAGGTTTTCTCCATCTAGCATTACCTGCGTGTGCCCCCTCCCCAGCCTGAACCTGTTTTGCATATTGGGGATTGCACTGAGCCACGCCCCCGCTCTTTTATTTCAGGTTTTTTTTTCCAGCTCTTTTTTTTGCAGAACCGGGGATTGAACTCAGGCCCTTGCGCTTGCCAGGGAAGCGCTTATTCCACTGAGCCATCTCCCCAGCCCCTCCAGCTCTTTTTATTTCTTTGAATTTTTATTTATTTTGCTCTTTTGAAACAGTCTCTATTTCTTGGTAGTTTAGGCTGGCTTGAAACAGTGTGAGGGCTAGGGAAGTGGCTCAGTGGACTATGTGCTTCCCTGGCAAGCACAAGCACAAGGGTCTGAGTTCAATCCCTGGTTCCACCAGAAAGCTCAGGCTGGCCTTGAATTCCTGGAGATGCTCCTGCCTCAGCCCCCCAAGTACTGGCACACCTAACATGATTGATTCTGTGCAGCAGAGAAACAGGCAGAAGGAAAGGGGCTTTATTTTCTTTGAGGACATGGAGAGAATTTGGGGAAGGATGGAGTAATGTTCTTGGCTGGAACAAAGGGAGGTTGAGGCTTTTATGGCATTTTTCCAGGGCTGGAGTTTAGAGGGGATGTTTAGGTATGCCTGAGGGAGCTGTCTGGGGGTCTTCCCTGAGGTGGCGGGAAGGGTGGAAGTAAATTATGTCCTGGGCTGAGTTGGAGAAGTAGGGGGAGGTGGTCTTTGGAAGATGGGCTTTTGTTTTAAGGGCATCAGCCATATTGGATGACTACCATGATTTCAGCTATTCGTATGAGGGCCAGAACCTAACAGCCTCTACATTTTTTTTTTTTTTTTTTTTGCGGAACCGGGGTTGAACTCAGGCCCTTGCACTTGCCAGGCAAGCGCTTATTTTACTGAACTATCTCCCCAGCCCCACTACATTATTAATAGTCCTTTTTTCTCCCACGAGGACCAAGATGAAGGTGTTCCTCACACCTGCTGATGACCAGGAAGGGGCAAGGGGCATGTTGCCTACTAAGCGTAGATATTTTTTTAAGTGCTGTGCGTAAAGTTAAAAAGATAAGCTAGCAGGACAGTGGCACATACATGTGATCCCAGCGCTCTGGAGGCTGAAGCAGGAGGATTGCTGTAAATTCAAGGCCAGCCTGAACTACATAGGGAAACTATTTTTTTAAAATGAAAATAGTAATAAAACAGCAAAAGCAGCATCGTGAGAGGTAATATTTGGATATTTGTGCCTTTAAAAATTCATTTGTTTTTCCTTTTAGAATAAAAGGAAAAGTTACACAATCCAAGGTTTTCATTTGTTAGTTTGGGGTTTTTTTGTTTTTGTTTTGTTTTAACACAGCGCCTCACTATGCATTTCAAGCAGGCCTTGAGCCCACTGTGTAGCCCATGCTAGCCTTGAACTCACGATGAGCCTCCTGCCTCAGCCTCCAGATTGCTGAGATTACAGACAGGCACCACTACCCACCCAGCTCATCCCAAGCTTCTAAGTGGGGAAAAGTTATAAAAGATAAGAAACATGTTCGCTCTAGGCGGATGAGGAATAAGCAGTGTGCACGTGAAAAGAGGCCCAGCTTCCCTGGTCAGGAGCCAGAATACGCCTCAAAAAGAGGAGCCCCCTGCTCGGCAGGCACAAGCCAGCTGCTGGAGGCGATCGCTGAGTTAGACCTGCTTGTCACTGGGCAGCTGGGTGGCCGCAAGGCTGTAGGCCCACACCTCCCCTTGTGGGAAGAGGTGGCTTTTTTAAAATCTTTATTTGGTACAGGATCTTGCTACTCAGCTCAGACTCATAGTGATCCTCCTGTTTTCAGCCTCCCCAGCACTGGGATTACAGGCATGTGCCACTATGCCCAGTTTCAGTGTCTGGCTTGGCATAGGCTGGCACAGACCAGGGCTAGAACCCGGCCCTGGAGGTGGCTCTTTTGAATAGCACTGTGGCCGCTTGGTGAAGCTGTGAACTGGAGACATTCGAGGAGCTGCGCATCTTAGCAGCTGTCTAGGGGCTCCAAGCACACTAAGAAGCACAGATAGGGGTTGCGGCGGTGCATGCCTGTCATCCCAGCACTCAGAGAGGCTGAGGCAGGAGGATCCTCGTGAGTGCAAGGCCAGCCTGGGTACACAGGCAGTTCAACACCAGCCTGCACTAGATAGCAAGACCTTGTTTCAAAACACACACCCACAAACAGTAAAACCTAAGTGATAGCTGTGCTGAAGTTGCTCTGCATGAGGGGTCCCCTTGACCCATCCTAGATGACGCAGGAAGTGAGGGGCCTCAAAGTGAGTCCTTGGACATGGCTGTTTGTGAAGGCTGCACATTTCTTTGACAAAAGGACGGTTTTTTGGAGCTATTTCCGCTTCTGCAGTCTCTGAATAGCCCTCTTGAAATAAGCCAAAGAAGCATATTTTGAGGTAGCCTATTTTGGTCTTCCACGAAATTTTTTTACAGAGAAAATGTTTTTATGTACTATTTATACTACTGACAAAATGTGCCAGAAAAAAATTTTTCTTTTGCTTTCTTTGAAGTGAATGATGGGTTAATTTCTAAGAAAGTAAAAGCAAATCTAGAGAAAACAGGGGCCTTGCCAGACTCAAATTTAAATAATCTCAGAAGAGCACACACCCAAGTCAGCAGTGTGGCAAATGATGAGATGTGGTGACAGGATCCGGTCACCTCCCCAAGGGCCCACCTCTCCAAAATACCTTTTCCATAGATTTGGGGGTTAGGTGTCCATACATGGCAGGTGGCCACGGGGAGATGGCGGTGATGCTGGGTTGTGGCAGCCTTACTGATTTAGGAGCTACTGGAGATTGAGCCCACAGCCTTTTCTTTGAGCTGTATTTCCAGCTTCTTTTAAAATTCTTTTATTTTGAAGTAAAGTCTCCTTAAATTGCCCAAGCAGGGTTCAAGCTTGCAATCCCCTGCCTCAGCTTCCCAGAATGCTGTGACCACTGGCATGTGCCATCCATGGAGCCCCACTACACCGAGGATGTTGGCGGTGTTGTTGATGGCCATGCTGCCTGAGGCCATCGCAACTTGACGTCATTCGGTAATGGCAGAGGCAACGGTGGCTATGGCAGTGAGCTGGTAGAACTGATGTGCTTTAAATCGGTAGGAAATGGGCTGGGGGTATACCTCAGTGGTCTACGCACCTGCCTTACACATGGCAAGCACCTGGCAAGCACAAGGACCCAGGTTCGAGCCCTGGTACTGCATGCTGTGCTGGCTCCGAAATCAGGTATAGTGGCGCATGCCTGTAACCCCAGCACGGGGAAGCTGAGACAGGAGGATCACTGTGAGTCCAAGCTGTGTAGTGAGACCTTGTACCAATTAATTAATTAATTGATTAAACAATAATAAATGGATAGAAAATTGGGATCAAAAGCAAATACGTCATGGCAGGTACCTCCAGCAAGGGATATGGCAAAAGGTCATCACTTTTTTATAAAAATTATTTATTTATTTATTTGTGTGTGTGTGTGTGGCCAGCTCAGCCCACCAGGGGGCAGGGCTGGCTGGCATGTGGTGCTGGGGGATTGAACCGCGGTCCCTGTGCTTTGTTAAGCTTGTTCTAAGTAGGTGCTTTAGACCACTGAGCCATCTCACCAGCCCCCTCCTCCCTTCTTTTGACTCTTTCTCCATCTTGTGATTCCCTTCTCCTTTGAAAAAGATCTATCTCACTACTTCTATTATCTACCATTTATTTATTTATTTATTTATGATTTTTTTTTTTTTTTTTGGCTGGCTCAGGATGCCTTCAGGGCAGGTTTGGTAAGGCATGAGGATATGGGGATAGAACCACACCATCCTGAGCCTAACTGCTTTGTTTAAACAGGCACTTAAACAACTGAGCTAATGGGCAGGCCCCCTATTTACTTATTTTATTTTATTTGGTACAGGGTTTTGCTACAAGCTCAGACTTGTAGTGATTCTCTTGTCTCAGCCTCCCCAGTGCTGGGATTACAGGTGTGCACCACCCTGCCTGGTTTTGATGGCTGGCTCAGTGCAGGGCCAGCATGGTGTGGTACAGGGGATTGAACCCAGGTCCTTGTGCTTGCCAGGGAGGCACTTAAGCCACCATGGTTGCCCCAGCCCCATCTAGCCTTTTCTTTGCTCTTTATTTATACTCTGGCTTTCTCATGTAAGAGAATGTGTGTGCTATTTCAGCCTGTGAGTCTGATTTATTTCGCCTAGCATGATGGTCTCGAGGTGTGCAGGGACACCGTACCTGACACCCATGTGTTGAGGGAGGAGAGGTTTAGTTTGACTCACAGTGTGTAGAGGTTTCAGTGTGTGCAGCTGGCTGTGGCCGGGTTGAGAAACAGCCCTTGGCATGGGAGACAGGAAGTGGAGATGAGGGATGCTGGGAGGAGCAGGAACATATGTACTCTTCCTGGACATAGTGATCTACCTCTCCTGCAGGCTTGCCCTCTGCTTCCCACCCACATAAACCATAATTGGAACTAACCTAGTGTCAGACCTCCATGACCCATCACCTACCCAGAGCCCCACCTATGAGCACGTGAGCCTTGGGTGGACATGTAGCTAGAAACCATGACAGGATGCTTCTATTTCCTATATATAACTCAAGTTTGTCTTTCTTTATGGAAGACAACGAGAAAATGAATAGAAACCTCTTGATGACAGAGGCATAGGAAAAGTCTTTCAGAGCAGAAATCCCAGTTGCACAGGAAGTGGTACCTGGAATCATCAGATGGGATCCCGTCCAATTCAAAAGCTTCTATGTAGCAAAGAAAGCAACCTAAAGAGTGAACAGAGACTGCACCTCTTTAGCAACGCAGCAGCTCCAGTGTTGTGGGCGTGGGGCTGGGCAGGCGCAGTCCAAGTCCTGGTTCTCTTCATCGGCTGTGTGACATCAGGCGAGCACCTGCAGCCCTCTGGATGCCCCTAAGCCAAGCACGCGTTGCTCCAAGCCTCCAGCTGTGGTGCCAAACACCCTGCTCTTGGCCTCTGTTCTCACCCCCCTCCCCCATGAACTTGCAGCTTGAGCTCTCAGTGACTGACCAACGCAGGGTGGTCTGCTTTGTCCAGGCAGGGTCTGGTTATGCAGTCCAGGCTGTCCTTGAGTTCACTATGGAGCCCAGGCTGACTTTTTTTTTTTTTTCCTGGTACCAGGGATCGAACTCAGGACCTTGTGCTTGCCAGTTAAGCACTTATTTCACTGAGCTATCTCCCTGGCCTTGGAACTCTCAATGATCCTCCTGCTTCAGCCTTCCAAGTGCTAGGATCACAGGCCCATGCCACCCTGCCCAGCCTAGAGCAGGAAGATCTGATCGAGATGACCCAAGGGCTATTTCAGTGGGCTGCATACTCAGGGACCCCTCTTTGTGCATCTGAGACTAGTGCCAAGATGTCTTCCCCAGGGAGAATCCAGTTCTCTGGAGAATTCTAGAAAATATAGCACACAGCCCAGTGCCGAGGCACAGGCCTATAACCCCAGTGCTCAGGAGGCTGAGACTGAAGGATCACTCGAGTTTGAGGCCAGCCGGGACTACACAGTGAGCTCGAGGCCAGACTGGACTGCATTGTGAAACCCTGTCAAAACAAAACAGAACAAACCCCAAAGTGTAGATCAAGCCAGGCCTGAAGGGAGTACACCTATAATCCAGGGAAGGATAAATCTACATACAGAAACACCAGTGATTTAACAGATTAAAAGAAAGCTGGATGTGGTGGCACACATGTTTATCATCTTAGTACTCTGGGAGGCTGAGGCAGGAAGAGCCCAAGTTCAGGCTCTAGCCAGGGCAACTTGGTGACTTAGCTAGATCCTGACTCAAAAATAGATAGATAGAGCTAAGGATGCAACTCAGTGCAAAGGCCCTGCGTTCAATCCCAGTGGGGGAGAGGGAACCATCTGGAATGGCTCTTAATCTTGAAGCCTGGGCCAATGGAAGGCAGTTTAGGGAAGGTGCTATTTTCTGGCTGTGTGGATTTTGAGGTGCTTGTAGGACCCCACATCCTCATCTGCAGAGAGCACAGAGATGCTGTGCTGGTGTGGTGCCTGGGCAGCCAGCCACCCTTGTCCCTTCCCGTCTTTGTCCTCAGGTCCCCTGTGAGGCCAATCCAGTCAACATGGTAGCCAAGCTCAGCCAGCTGACAAGTCTGCTGTCCTCCATTGAAGACAAGGTACTTGGGGTCCCATGCCTTCTGGGGGGGCTTCTTTTTGTACAGGGAATCACAGGCTCGGGCTCTGCATCCCCCTTGATGCTCTGGCATCCCTGCTGCCCACAGGTCAAGGCCTTGCTACATGAGGGGCCTGAGTCTCCACACTGGCGCTCACTCATCCCACCCGTCACCTTCGAAGTGAGTAGTTCTGGGGTGCCTGGCCTTGTGCTCCACACTTGGGGAGAACATCCTGGTCCCTTGCAAAGTGGGTTGTGGGTTTGGGCCCGAGAGGGAAGGGAAGGGAAGCCAGGAGTGGAGGGTGGCAGTGGGTGGGGACCCCAGCTGGGGCAGTGGTTAGGCATTTGTGTGCTGCCTGGAAGCCTCCGTGCCAGATGCCGTGAGGGGAGAGCGGCTCCTCACTGGCCCAGGAGACACTGGGATCAGGGCCCTATCCTGGCTCCAGAGCAGTGAACTAGGATGTACCCAGGTTGTAGAATTGAGAATTCCTGTGATTTCTCCAAGAGGGACTGATTGCAGCCTCCACACTTCATCTGTTTCCTTTTTTTTTTTTTGGCGGAACTGGGAGTTGAACTCAGGCCCTTGTGCTTGCCAGGGAGGCACTTATTCCACTGAGCCATCTCCCCGATCCCCTTCATCTGTTTTCTTTACCAACCCTGTTGGTATGCGCAGTGAGTGAGTTGTTCCCTAGGAGACTGTGGGATGTGTATGGGCAAGGATAGGGTTCTGAGGTCCCCACATGGCCAAGGTAGACTTGGGGCTCACAGGCCAAAGTGAAGACAGTGCCCAACAAAATGCATCCGAGGGCCGGGGAGATGGCTCAGTAGAGTAAGCGCCTCCCTGGCAAGCGCAAGGGCCTGAGTTCAATCCCCGGCTCTGCCAAAAAAACCCAAAACAAACAAACCAACAAACAAAACACATCCGTCTCTCCACAAAGGTGAAGGCCGAGTCTCTGGGGATTCCTCAGAAAATGCAGCTTAAAGTTGACGTGGAGGCTGGGAAACTGATCATTAAGAAGTCCAAGGATGGCTCCGATGACAAGTTCTACAGCCATAAGAAAAGTGAGGACCCCCCTGCCTGTCATGCTCTGGTCCTGCCGGAGCTTTTAAGGGTGACTGGTCAGTAGGTGACCGGTCAGTAGGTGACTGGTCAGTAACAGGCTGGGTGGAGATGTGGAATCTGCTGGCATATTCCACCTCTTTGCAGAGGGCGACACCCCCCCAGCCATGCACCACTCACCCTGGCTGGCCTTCTCTGAGGTCACCTTTATGGGGCCTCCCCTGCCCACTGCAAACCCCCAGGGAAGAGCTGCACCCTGCTGGGCACACTGGCACATCCTGCCTCAGTAGCAGGGGTGTGCGTGTGTGTGCGTGTGCGCGTGCATGTGTATGGCAGTTCCATGTGTTTGTATGTGGCTGTGTCTCTTGCCCACGCACCAGTCCCACTCATCCCGTCACCCGCCATGCCGGCTGCAGGTCCTGCCCAGATGGCATGGCGTCCTTGGCAGGTGGCATCTTCAGCATGGCACAGACTGACTGGCGCTGCTGTATGTGCTCCCTGGAATCAATCTGCAAATTCGCATCCTAGCTTTGCTGCCTAGCAGCTAGCAGTGTGGTCTTTGGGTTTGTCACATGCAAGCTGTCTTAACAGCTGTGTGACCTTGGCTTGACTTTCAGGGCCTCAGTTTCCTGTAACAGAGATGAGGAAGATGAAGTGAGTAACACAGAAGCCTAACACATGGCCTTTTCCAAGGCCAGCCGTGATCCTTGGGCTTGAGCTGCTTAAATTTTAAAAAAGTGCTACAGTAAATGACTCCTAGGCATGCGCCTTCCTCGTGATCCTCCTCCTCATTTCAAACACTTCCCGCCATCCTTGCCACTTCCTGAAGAAGTTCTGGAAGTCCCCTTTTCCTGAGTGTCTTGCCAAGGTGTGGTCCAGGATACAGCTGCTGCTGCTGTGGGGGCCTCCAAGGAAAGGCAGCCCATAAAAGCCCCGCAGTGTGTCCCACCTACTTCATTTGCCAGATCAGTTTTTGTTTTTGGCAGAACCAGGGATTGAACACAGACCCTTGCGCTTGCCAGGGAAGCGTTTATTCTACTGAGCCATCTCACCTGATCCCTCATTCGCCAGATCTGGTACCAGGTGCATTTTAAATTGATCCAGGACCTTGTAGGGCCAGCCAGATCAACAGATTAAAGTGCCTGCTTAGGTAGACACAGGGGTCAGGGGTTTGATCCCCAGCTGGCCATGCTGGCCCGGTGCCCAAGGCACGCTGAGATGGGATGAAGACTGGGCATGATGGGGCTGGGGAGATGGCTCAGTAGAGTAAGTGCTTGCCTGACAAGTACAAGGGCCTGAGTTCAATCCCTGATGCCACAAAAAAAAAAAAAAAAAAAAGACTGGGCGTAGTGGTGCACTGTAATCCCAGCACTTGGAAGGCTGAAAACAGGAAGATCACTGAGTCCGATCTGTGTAGTGAGACCCTGTAGACCTTGTATTAAATACATAAAAATAGAGGCATTCATAAAAGAGGACTTCCAAAGCCGCTTCAGAAGGCAGCCGGAATGATGGGATGAGTGTTTGAAGCAAGGGGGAGGACATTGAACTATGTGTCTTTTACTGTTTTTATATTTTTTTAGGACAGGGTCTACAGGGTCTCACTATGCAGATTGGACTCTAGTGATCCTCCTGTTTTCAGCCTCCCAAGCACTGGTATTACAGGCACACGCCACCATGCCCAGTCTCAGACACTGTCTCAGTGTGCCCCAGGGACAGGGCTGGCACAGCTCTCTTGGGATCAAACCCTAGGCCCTGCTTCTGCCTAAGCAGGCACTTTAATCCGCTGAGCTATCAGGCTAGCCCTTGATTTTTTTGTTTTGTTTTTTAATTTAAGCATTCACTGTACTTTCAATCACACCTTACAGATCTGAGAGGTGACTTTCCTTCTTTCCTCTTGGGGTCTGGTCAGAGACTGAGACAGATTACCAGGAGAAGGGCACATACACTGGTTCTGTGTAAGTTCTATGTGACCGGAAGTGCTCCCATGAAGTGGAGACATGAGGCTGGTGTTGAACCTCTGTGCATCCAGGCCCAGTGTGATGAGGAGAGGCTGAGGGAGAGGCGGGTAGGGTGTGGGCTGGTGAGGAAGTGTGGAATGGAGCACAATGCTTAGCAGGGCCTGGGGTTCAGATCCCTCTTGCTTCCAGCTATAGGGAAGGCACGGTCCATGGTGATCTTCTTGCCAGCTTCTAGGATGGTCAGAGTCCAGTATTCCCAATGTCGAGGTGCCATGTGCTGCAGTAGTGGGTCGGAAGCCCAGTCAGTAGTTTGGTAGAGTTAGAAGCTCAGATACATATCTGTAATCCCAGCACTCAGGAGGCTGAGGCAGGAGCATTGCCTTGAATTTTAAGGTTGGCCTGGGCTACATAGTAAGACTCAAAAAAAAAAGGAAGACAGTAGTTGGGGCCTCTGCTGCCATCACTGCCTTTGGAAGGCAGCACTCACGGGAGAGACACAGTTTGGACAGCTGGGAGGCAGACAGATGATAAAGCTCCTTTCAGGGGAGCCAAAAACCTGACGGTGAGAACTCAGTTGGAAACTCTAAGACCCTGGACTCGGCCCACGGAACCCAGAGGGCCCAGGAGCCCATAGGGGTGGGGCGGCCCACAAGGAGCCTGGAACCCGCCGGCCAGGCGAGTGGACTTGGCTCCCCTTCAGTCCTGCAGCTCATCAAGTCGCAGAAGTTCCTGAACAAGCTGGTGATTCTGGTGGAAACCGAGAAGGAGAAGACCTTGCGGAAGGAATATGTTTTTGCTGACTCTAAAGTAAGTGGCAGTCAAGGGGGCAGTGTGGGACAGCTGTCTTCTGAGGTCTGTGGTGTCATAAGTCACTGTTTCACACCTGGGGAAACAGGTCACAGCACCTGGGGGCATGCTGGGAGGGATGGCCCCAGCCACAGCTGCAGGAGGAAGAGCTGCTGTGGGCGGAGGGCAGCCCAGGAGTGCCCTGCTACTTATCATCCATCTCGGGGGAAGCTGCAGCTATAGCCAGGTGTTCTGGCTTGTGCCTGTATTCAGCACTCTTGGAGGCTGAGGCAGAAGGACTGAGCAGTCACCAAGACTGGGCGCAGGCGCACACCTGTAACCCCAGCACTGGGGAGGCCAAAAACAGGAGGATCACTACAAGTCTGAGCTGCACAGGGAGACCCTGTACCAAATACATCAAAAAATTAATAAGTGAAAGAGCAGGGATCTGAGGAGGTAGGAGGGAGCTGGGGGGAGGTGGCTGGCATGACTGTGGGGGGATTCTAAGGACAGGAAGCAAGGGCCAGATAGAAGTTGACCCAAATATGGTTAGCTCTGCCCATTGCTTCAAGGTCAAGGGGGGGTGGGGTCAGAGACGGAATTGTGAGCCTTGGCCAGCTACGCCCAGTGTCAACAGAAATGGGCCATACTGGGTCACAGCTTCCAGCCTGGAGCCCTCCAAGGAGCCTCACTGATGTTTGCAGTTAGGAGTTCAAATCATATGTGACATTACAAAGCTGTCAAAGGCGGGTGCTTCCGTATGGCACGACTTGAAATTTTGTGGCATTTAAAGCCGGGCTTCCCCATGGACTGTGCTAAGAGAGCAGGAATTCACAGCGGCCCTGCCTTGGACTTCTAAGCGCAGAAATTACGGGTGTGAGCTTCCATACCTGGCATTTCAGATGCTTTGTTAAAATAAAAAATACAGTGATGCCATTCATACCATTTGTCAGATCATTTTCATATATTATGATCGATTTTGTTTTGGTTGGTTGGTTGGTTTTGGTACCAGGGATTGAACTCAGGACCCTGCGCTTGCCAGGCAGGTGCTTATTCTACTGAGCTATCTCCCCAGCCCCATTATGATGTATTTTGGCTACCTTTTTTTTTTTTTTCTTTCATAGTACTTTATTATTGCAAATAAACCTTCACTCAATGATTTTTAAACTATTCTTTAGTATTAACTGGGTCTTAGTCCAACTGTCATTAACTTCTTGGCTACCTCTTTGACAATGCTTCTGCTTGTAATTTGTAAGCCCTGTGTGATCCTAGCTTGTGGAGGTCGGTCATAAAATTGCTCATGAGTCCACCAGGATTGGGCGTGAAGCTTGCTCTGAGTTGCAGATCCGAATGTGTGCTGTGCAGGGCCTTGGTGAGGAGTTGGTCTCTTTTCTGGGAGTCAGTGTGTGGCTGGGTCAGAGAAGCCCCTGTTCGTGCCCGGGCACTCCTGTTTCCAAGCTGCTCTCCTGCCAGCATGCACTGCGCTCACTGCCCTCAGGACTTAGGACACCACACTGAGTCCTCTCAAAGTGCAGAGGCAGAGGCCACATTCACCCCTTCCATCCGCAGAAGCGAGAGGGGTTCTGCCAGCTCCTGCAGCAGATGAAGAACAAACACTCAGAGCAGCCGGAGCCTGACATGATCACCATCTTCATCGGCACCTGGAACATGGGTGGGTGCCTACGCCCCGTCCCTCCCTCCCCTCTGAGTCTGTCTTCCTGCTTCCACATCCGCAGTGCGAGCCAGGCCACTCGGTCTCCTGTCTGCCCCATTCTCTCGGCCCCTTTTCCAAGTGACCCCACCCTTTCCTCAGAGCAGGGAAATAATCCCTGAGACTGCTCTACCCCCAGAGTAGCTGTTACTTCAGACTGGAAGGCTTAGGTAAAGAATCGGAACGTCTAGGTAAAGGGGCTCACCCTCCAAGGGGCAGGGGGAGGGGCCCTAGGGCTAGAAGAAAGAAATCTACTCCAGGCTGGGCGTGGTAGCTGGGCGTGGGATTACATCCCAGTAATTGCATGTGATTACATCCCTGTAATCCCAGCCCTCTTGAGGCTGAAGCAGGAAGATTGCCACAAGTCTGAGGCTGGGCTACCTAATGAGTTCAAAGCCAGCCTGGACTATGTGGCAAGACCTTGTTTCAGAAACAAACAACCAAAAAGAAGTTTTGAAGAAGAGAAAATCTGGCAGGTAGATAGGTAGGCAGAGGATTTCCAACAAAATTTGAATTTTGTTTGAAGAACAAGTATAATTTTAGTGTGTGCATTTGGCTGGGAATAAATACTAAATATGTTTGCTAATATAAGATATCTACTTATATGCTAATACATTTTATGTACTAAATACAGTCATAGCTCGATGCTCAGCTGCTTGGAAACAAATGGAACGTCATGATAGATTTTGATGCATACTAGAATTTGTCAATGTTGGTGGCCCCAGCACTTGGGTCCTTTGCAGACAAGACAATTTGTTTGTTACTTGCCACACTCTGGGAACCAGTTAATGATGAGCACCGGGTACCACTACAGATAACATGTAAACTAAGTATAAATTATGCTAAGTGTTTAGCAAAAGGACTCGAATAGAAACAGATCCTGAATGGCCGGGGAGATAGCTCAGTTGAGTAAGTGCTTGCCTGGCAAATGCAAGGTCCTGAGTTTGGTCCCTGGTACAAAAAAAGAAAGAAATAGATCCTGAAGATATACTAAGTGGATAGATGGGTGGATAGGCAGGTGATATAGATGAGTGGATGGATGGGTGGAAAAAGGCAGGCAGGCTAATATTTTATATTGAAGAATGTTGCAGTGAGTATTCAGCAAGAAATAAGTGGGGAGGGGCCAGGGAGATAGCTCAGTGGAATAAGTGCTTGCCTGGGAAGTACAAGGTACTGAATTTGATCCCTGGTACCACCAAAAAAAAAAAAAAAAGAAAGAAAAGAAATAAGTGACCTGAGTCTTGTGTGTCCAAGCTTTGTGGAATTTAACATCATCTTTAAAAAGAGACTTTCTTGGCCAGGCATGGTGGCACACACCTGTAATCCCAGCATCCAGAAGGTTGAGACATAAGGATCACCCAGAGTTCATGGTCAGCCTGGGCTACACATTGAATCTCAGGTCAGCCTGAACTACATAGCGAGACCGTGTCTCCTCCCCCTCCAAAAGATAAAATAGGGGCCAGGGAGATGGCTCAGTGGAATAAGTGCTTCCCTGGCAAGCCAAAAAAAAAACAACAACAAAAAACGAAAAACAAAAGATAAAATAAAACAAAAGAGATTCTCCTGAGTTCTGAGCCCTAAATGGCATTGGGGATGTTACTGGCATTTAGCTCTCCATGTAGGACATTTGTCTGAATGGCTTCGTGTGACCCTGCCCCCTTCCTCCCCCGCCCCCACCCGTTTCTCTTCTGAGCCTTTGACTCATGTGGTGTTGGGTTTTGCTGTTGAAGGTAACGCCCCCCCTCCCAAGAAGATCACGTCCTGGTTTCTCTCCAAGGGGCAGGGAAAGACGCGGGATGACTCTGCAGACTACATCCCGCACGACATCTATGTGATCGGCACTCAGGAGGACACCCTGGGGGAGAAGGAGTGGCTGGAGATCCTCAGGAACTCTCTGCGTGAGGTCACCAGCATGACTTTCAAACCGGTGAGCAGCTGCCCAGGCCCTGAGCCCTGCTTGGCTGGTAGTAGCCCAGAGGATCAGGCAGGCGCAGCTTACAACTGTCCACCTCCAAAGACACTGGGGACTCAGTGTCCTCCAGTTCCAAAGCCAGAGGTGCACTCAGGTCATACTCAGAAATTAATGGGGCCATGGGCTACTGCCCAAAACTGCCAAGTTGGGGGCCTGCCCCATAGCTCAGTTCTTTAAGTGGCTGCTTCAACAAAGCAGTCAGGCTCAGGTTGCTGTGGTTCGATCCCCACAGCTCAAGCCAGCCAAACCTGCCCTGAAGGCATTCAGAGCAAAAAAAAAAACATCCTTCTGCCAAAACTGCCAAGTCCCCTGTGAACCTCATCTTTGCTGGTCAGAGCCCATCTTTACTTCCTGGGTCTCATCCACCCCAGGTCTTTTTAAAAGTTTATTTATTTATTTATTTTTTGTGAAACCGGGGATTGAATTCAGGCCCTTGGGCTTGCCAGGCAAGCGCTTATTCTACTGAGCTATCTTCCTGGCCCCTACCCCAGGTCTTGACTTTAGAATGCTGTCTCTTTGTTGGCATAGTTCAGAGTTACCTCAGAGTCTAAGGATAGAGACAGGGCACCCCGCTCCCAGGGACTGGCGCTAGTGTAGAGCATGGCACCTATGGCTCCCAGCATGGCACCTTCACCAGATGTGGCAACGTTGTCCTCCTGCCAGGTTGCCATCCACACGCTCTGGAACATCCGCATTGTGGTGCTGGCTAAGCCGGAGCACGAGAACCGGATCAGCCACATCTGCACCAGCAATGTGAAGACAGGCATCGCCAACACGCTGGGTGAGTGAGTGAGAAGCTTTGGCCCCTGTGGTTGGGCTAGTCTGGGGACCATCCTGGCTCTGGGAACTGATTCGCTGAGCCTCAGGTGGAAGCTGGGGCTCCCAGTCGAGCGAGCTCCCAGGTGGCACTGTGGGGACAAATGGACCACAAACATCGCTCTGAGTAGCAAGAACCTGGAGTGGGGTGGCCATGTGCCTGCTGGGAAGGGGTAGGTAGCTTTGTGGGCCCCACACATGGCTCATCTCTGCATTTTTGGCTAAGAGCTGCCACAGTCAAGGAACAGGGGGACTTTCCCAGCAAGACTGGCACTGCCCATGGGGCATAGCTGCCAACCAGGGTGCTCCAGAGAGCAGAGAGAAGAGCCAGAAGATGGTGAGGGTGTTGGTGTGTGTGAGTGTGTAGCGCTGGGTGTGAGTGGGGTGTGGGTGTGCAAGCCTATGTATGAGTGTGTAAGTGCACGCCTGTGGGAGCTTGACATAAATGTGTACGTGAATCTGCATGTGTGAGTATATGTCACCCTGCATGTGAGTGTGTGCTTCTGGGTGTGTGTCAGTCTGTTCTGTGAGAGCGAGTCTATGCATGTGAGTGTGGCAGTGCCTGGGAGTATCTGGGTACACATGGGTGTTGGGGGTCATCCCCAGGGCCTCAGGTAGAGTCCAGGGACGAAGCCAGCAGTCTGTGGTGGTTGGAGCCAGGGTGGGACAGCCCCAGAGATAGCAGGAAGCAGCGAAGTTGCTGCAGTCACAAAGCTCCAGGCTTCAGTCTGCAGACTGTTCTGTGCACCCTGGTGTCCCTTGCCTTCCTGCTCAAGGGCTAGTGCAGGCCAGTGGAACTTCCCTGAGGAGATTCTGCCTGTAGGG